AATTAAATCCCTCCTCTTAATGATAACACGTTTGTTCTACATAGATACCTTATACGCCTTCCGTAGTGTTAAATTATATAAAATATAATTGCTTTTGTAAAATTATAAGAAAAGAATAATGCATAATAAAAAAGAAATTTACTTTCGGTGTCAGATAGCGAAGTTTAGCTGATGCCTGCTGGCATCCATTTAATTTACTACTACGGTTAGCCGCTACATTTAATAAACAACTTATAAAAACAGAAAAAAAACTACGCCGTTGGCATTTTTATTCTGTTCTAGTGGGAGCTTAGTCGGCGCTTCTTATGTATTTTATATTTTTATAAAATTGCTTTCTTTCAGGGAAGTCATATTATAAAATATGCATTAATAACTACGACGTCAACAAACGTAATACAATTGTTCTAATCATAATGATATATATATATATATATATATACATATATCATTAAAACACAGGCGCTGTCACTGTCTTTCACTATGTAAACTTAAATTTTTAAAACTACGCAACGGATTTTGAAGAGGTTTTTTTTTTTTGTATATGATAATGAAATGGTGCACCCGCCTGCGCTAACGGTTTACGCTGGCGGGGCACCAGTGGAAGATGATAAGATGAGAATGAGGTCAGGTCAGTTAGCCCATCGTGATAATTTCACCTGGAATTTATCACGATGGTTTCCAGGGGGAACCGCGTGGAGGTCAACCTGACATGGTACATTGCTAGCAATGGGGTCGAGAGTCCACATTACTAACAATCCCTTTCCCCCCTTTTGAAGAGGTTTGTTAATAGATATAGATATAGTGATTCAAGAGCAAGGTTTATATGTATAATACATGTACACCCCGTACGAAGCCGGTGTGGATAACTAGTATATGATAGAATCCAAACATTATACAGTGATTAAAATTATACACCTTATGCTACAGCCAGGCCTGCTTTAGGACCACTCCTCGTAAGCTTCAGGCACAGGCGCGTCTGGTATGACTATCACACGTGCCTTACGTATAACCCGGTAGACGGACCCAATACCTCATGCTACATTCAGGTCTGCTTTAGGAGCACTCCTCGTAAGTTTCAGCCACAGGGGCGTCTGGTATGATTAACACATGTGCCTTACGTACAACCTGGTAGATGGATCCAGTACTTCATGCTATATTCAGGTCTGCTTTAGGAGCACTTCCCGTATGGTTGAGGCACCGAGGCGTCTGGTATGATTATCACACGTGCCTTACGTACAACCTGGTAGATGGATCCAGTACTTCACGCTATATTCAGGTCTGCTTTAGGAGCACTTCCCGTAAGGTTCAGGCGCCGAGGCGTCTGGTATGATTATCAGACGTGCCTTACGTATAACCCGGTAGACGGACCCAGTACCTCATGCTACATTCAGGTCTGCTTTAGGAGCACTCCTCGTAAGTTTCAGCCACAGGGGCGTCTGGTATGATTAACACATGTGCCTTACGTACAACCTGGTAGATGGATCCAGTACTTCATGCTATATTCAGGTCTGCTTTAGGAGCACTTCCCGTAAGGTTGAGGCACCGAGGCGTCTGGTATGATTATCACACGTGCCTTACGTACAACCTGGTAGATGGATCCAGTACTTCACGCTATATTCAGGTCTGCTTTAGGAGCACTTCCCGTAAGGTTCAGGCGCCGAGGCGTCTGGTATGATTATCAGACGTGCCTTACGTATAACCCGGTAGACGGACCCAGTACCTCATGCTACATTCAGGTCTGCTTTAGGAGCACTCCTCGTAAGTTTCAGCCACAGGGGCGTCTGGTATGATTATTACATGTGCCTTACGTACAACCTGGTAGATGGATCCAGTACTTCACGCTATATTCAGGTCTGCTTTAGGAGCACTTCCCGTAAGGTTCAGACACCGAGGCGTCTGGTATGATTATCAGACGTGCCTTACGTACAACCCGGTAGACGAACCCAGTACCTCATGCTACATTCAGATTTGTTTTAGGAGCACTCCTCGTAAGCTGCAGGCACAAGGGCATCCGGTATAATTATCCTGCCTTATTTGTGCCGTAGGCGGGACGCAACCACAGACAAATTACTAGGACTTGTCAGTTATTTACTCTTTCGGGAAACACAATTAGACTCGTGGTTAGTTTATAATGACATACACATATATTCCGGCGGTTTTACTATAAATTGTATGCGACATACTCGGCAGCGGAATCCGATGATTGTATCTACGTGTGGAGATAGGTAGAATTAATTTCGTATGTATCGTATTAGATATTTATAAATCAATTACAAAGATATTGGTATAAACATAACGTGATATAATATACAAACAATATACTTTATAAATTAATAATTAATTTGTTTACTTTGAATAATAACCTTTGCAGGTGCAAAGGTTATTATTCAAAGTAAACAAATTAAAACATGTCAATATTGATTAAACATTTATCATTATAAATTCATTTACTAAAATAAATAGCTGGTTTTTGTTTCAGTAAATCTTGTAATCAATTTATACGGATTTAATGAGCAGACAGACTCGCAGAGGACTTTAACAAAGTCTCCTTGTGACCCTGGCGACCTTATAGGTCAGATCTGACTTACAAAAATGTCGCATACCATATTCCTACAAAGAAATATAGGCATAGAACCCTTTTTTGTATTCGAAATGTACATAGTCAAGTGGTAATAATGTTTGAAGGAGCATTAATTAAATTCTATTTAAAATAACACCAGGGAGGTGTCAGGAGAATAAGCTGTTTTATTAGATGAGGTGAGAGCGCGCGATGGATAACGGTGACACTGTCGTTGAATGTCAATTAAGTAAATCCATACGTCGCGCCTCGTACACGTAGGTACTCACGAAGATGACAGCGACCCAGTGTATTTATAATGACATATGTAATTTCAAGTCAATAAAGTCTATTTTCGAATGAATAGAATAGGAATAATTCTTTTTAAAATAAACTGTATTATATGTACATTTTATTCCATCGCTACTTTGAATATATCTAGTAATAATTACATGTAAATTGACGCTCTCGTCTGGACATTGTAACATTATATTGTGGAATTAAAAAAAAAAAATATTATTTATTTATGCAAGAAAATTGGATATAAAACTTATCTGTCAAAAAAACAGAATGTTTGAGTAAAAGTTATATAACACCATAATTTTTGTAAAATATTTTTCATGGCATGCAAGATATTCTTCAAACTACCGTCAATGTGCTAGACTTATAAGGACATAAATTAAAAAGTAAACTGACAAGATGGTTTATGTAGGAAAGATTTTACTCTCACAATCTTAATTATGAAATTCTAGCGAAACGCCCCGACTTTGCACGGGTCAGTATTGAAACGTTGCTGTATTGTGTTGTGTTGTGTGTAAGTTCATATTACTCGCTGGTAATGCAGCTTTATATAGGTAAAAGAAAAAAAGACTAAATGATGGTTCACTTATAAAGAGTGCATTGTCGGAACTGAAGTGATTTATTTGCTATATATATATATATAATACGGTGGAAAATAACAGTCATATAATATTTTAAATTAAAATACAAAATCTTATTAATTTTTGTATTAGTCAATTTTATATAAATAAATGTAATATATAAATAGATTCCTTAATAGAATATTCCAATTTTGAGCATATTAAAATATGTAAAAAAAAGGTTAATACTACTCGTATAAAAACATATTTCTGACAACCACTTAAACAATCTATTTTTGAAAGGTCTAAAATATCGCATTTATGTAAAGATCGATAATTTATTGTGAATTTTAATATTTTTTTCAAATATTGCACTTTTATATTAGGGTTTTAACAATCGGCTTAGGTCTCTTAGTCTATAATTGAATTTGAAAAAGTTATTTTATAAAAAAGTATTTTTTTTTAATTTATATATTATATAAACACTGATAAACCAAAACCGTTGCTCTTTGTAATATTAAATGACTAATATTATATTCTGTGAAATCACTTGAAACATTAATATAAATTTAATTATTCTGATAATTCAATACGTTGATTACCTAATTTTATATGAAATAATATTTCGTTAACACAAAAGCCAATGTCATGAAGTTATGATTTATTTATTCAATTATCTAATAATGTACAACAAATAAACATGACTTTAATCGCCGCTAAAACCAAATATTTGAAAGCAAATTATTGTGGCATAAATTGAATGTACTTGTCTGTTGTCAGTAACACAAATAAATGAATTATATAATCGATCAAAGTTAATTGGTTATAAATTGTATTCCAGTTTTGTTCAAAGCATATGTTTTATTACTAGCCATATAACAAAATGCTAGGCTTTACCACGTCGTTTTTTAATTATAAAATATAACATGGTATCGTGAATTGCATGTCAAACAAGTTGATGGGTAGTCATTCTATTTGTTTCTGAACTTTCATTATATAGTATTTTATATTTTGATTTTTAATTATTCATTCAGTTACTCAACTCCTGTATGTTTAATATTTTTACTTTTAATTTGTGCTCTTTGGTAGTTTGTATTCAGATTTTTATTAAAAATTGAACGGTCTCGGTGGTATAGCGGCTTAACGCGCCGTCTTGCATTCGATGGTCGCGGGTTTTATTCCTCTCACGGCACAAACATTTGCATTCATGTGTGTATTTGTATCGGTCTGGATGTTTACGAAACAAAATATCAATGTATTTGTATCAATTATTTAGTACGCATAAGACAAGGTTTAGTTAGCTTAGCTAGCTAGTCTATACGGTGCTGTGTGAATTGTCCTGAGATCATTATTATTATTATAAAAAATATAAAGGTGTAAAGCATTTGTTTATAAAAGCAACAGACAAATTTCTCTTTCAAATTTTTGGATTAAATTGAATTTCGAATAGAAATAAATAGTGAATAAAATGAAGTTAATTTGAATAGAGATTATTTAAACACTATTTGAAAATCTTCTGACAGCAGGTGCTAGAAATCGAGGCGGGTCTCCAGTTCTCTATAAAAATAGTTGTATCTACTAACCTGAGCTCCCACCATGCCTTCCCTGAGTCTCGGCAGGTCCGTATGCGAGTACTTGGAAATCGACCAGGGTTCCACCACGGTGAGGTCGGTGTCCAGCTCAAAGTCGTTAATTTGGTTGCGCAGAAACTTCCTGATGTTCCATGGCAGGTCGTTGTGACTATAAAAGAGAATGGTTGTGTTTTAAAGTAACAAAAGATAACTGCTGTCAATTTGTGTGTATTTTTTAAACATGAGTAATTTTCTACGTGTACAGATTTTTATAATCTTTTTTTTTTTCGATCAAATCTTGTTCAGGGTGAGTCCGGGGAATTCGGTTTAGAGTCTCGCATAGCATTGAATGTAGCTTCTGGATATCGAAACATGTATTGCGAATGATGAAAACATATTCAGTTCTTTTAATTCTATATTATGTACTTTCAATAAAATGATTGACTGGTTGATTAAAAATTATAAATTCTCTTTTTTGAAACCTGGTCCGCTTCATAAGGTATTATATAATTTTAATCAACATTTAGACTAGATGTTTAACTATCTTTAATGCAATTGAATACCTCAACGTATATGGTCCCTAGAGTGTACTAAATCTATTTTGTAATCGCACATTCATGATTTCTAGACTAAATAGTAATAATTTATGTGTTGGTAATAGCGGCAAAGTGTGCTGCAATTAATATCCAAAATTATCCGAGGTATTTGTGTGTTAACAAATGTGTGTCCACTGACGATAACATGTCATTTAATTGGTCCCCATTGTGTATAAATTACTAAATATACAGGACATTAATGTTATTACAACTGACGAGTGGAGTGATACAAACATTTATTATATAAAACAAAAACAAATGTATTTTCATGAGTATCATTCTATAGATATATTTATCAGTTTCGAATACTTTTTACTTTTTTTACAAGGTATATTAGAATCCAAAATGACTAGGCCTATTGCCGTTTCTCTGATTTATTTAGATTTATTATCACTTTTATATCATTGAGAAGATAGTTTGAAATATAATTTGTAACAATTTTCTTATTATTGGCTTATTGGTTTAATACTTTGACTTAGTCTCAGTCAAAGTATTAAACCAATAAGCCAAAGCTCTTTTAGTGTATTCATATATAGTTATAAATTACATGCAATTTTCATACATTATGTTTAATACATTATATAAAAGCGGGTTATAGCAATAGCGCGTCTGATGGGAAAATCTTGTTCACCCAACTGACAAGTGTGACATCCTAGAACATGTAACAACATATACATATTGTTAGAAAGTATTGTAAACTCAGAGGAATTCACTCAGGATTTACGAATAAATAGATTTAATATTGGTTACATCTGAACTGTTATGCCGGATTGGAGATTTTGGGGTTTTGGTAGTAATATTAATGATGTACTAAAAAAAGACTAGACAAAAAAAAATACAGAAAAGTGGAAAGCCTAAAAAACCGATCAATATTAATTTCCTAATAAATAGTCACTAAAGACTAAGTCTAGTCACTAAATACACAGATTGACTGTATCGAAGACAATCTTTATAGGGCATATTTTCTCCGTAACCTGACTTTCATCACCGCTCTGCTCAGAGATGCCTAATCGACTTTGGGGCGAAATTAAAGGAGGAAGTCAAACGATCATCTGGCTATTCTGCATTCAAATTATATCAATTACATTTATTCACTACAAATAAAAAAAACAGAACTTACACTGTTGGTTCCGAAAGGTCCAGGTGACTTCCTATCAAATGTATGTTACGCGTGTAAGTGTATCGTTCAATAAAATAAAATTGAACAAGTTTGTTGTATCGTAAGCTAATCTAATTTACTGACAAACATAAACTGCTTGGTTTAGAGAGGGACTTTTAAATTACTTCTGAATTGTTGTTACAAAATTGTTTGTCGGCAAGCAAGAACTACTTTTGTTATACACAATGTTATTGTTTAGGAAACTATGTAATATGTAACAATGGGGATGCCTTTGTAATTAAATAAGCTTTCCAATATCAAATACTCAATAGAGTTGGAGTAACCACAATGAATACAAGTAGATATCATAAAGTAAAATGGTATTATTAAGGTAGTAATTGGCTTAAAACATTATTACTGTCTATTCACTTCAAGTTTCTATTATTATTCCTACTACAACATATGTGGAAACCTAACTATTGTTACAAGTGAGTTTGTTCGTATTTTTTGACTGGGTCTATTCACTAACCAACATTACATTTATTACTTTTAGGACAAAGAAAGAACAGATTACTTTAGCTTTACCATTCGATCAGCACAATCACTTACTGTATTTCAAAATTCACTAAAATCTCATTATCTCTCTCTCTGTAACTGCACTATAACTAAATTTTCCTTTTGTTGTCATCCCATATGTAGTATATGTATGTATATAATATGTATTAGTGTGTAAGTTTATTTATTTATACTTATAAAATGTATGTTTGTCTATATGTATATTATAAATATGTTGTCTACTGTGCGTCTTCTATCTTCTCTATGTAAATAGTATCTATCAATACCAGGTTGTCTGTAAGAAATTGCTGTTAGTGATAAGACCGCCTTTTGTATAACTTTTTATAAATTTTTTTATTCTTTGTCTGTATGTCTGTCTGCAATAAAGAATTATTATTATTATTATTACTTTTTACGTTTACACGGATGATATCACATGTGGAAATTAAGTCCTAATAAAAGACAAAGACTGTTGTAGTAGAAATATTAATCAGATAAACAAATACCATGTGATAAATATCATACCTTTTTGACAGAAGGTATCTAAAAAGTGACTTTATACGAGTATCAAAATATAATGTATTTAAAAAAATGCCTGTGTGTTCGTTTGTGAATGAAGATTTCACAAAGTATAGACTAGACGAAGTAGTATAAAATTTTCACTGAATGTTTGTACTTTTTTCCTAAAAATGGAGCTTATTCATCATCGTGACAAAAGCAATATTTACGTTAAATTTCATAATGATCTGTTTAACTTAGTGGCGAACAGATCACAGAAAGATAGACAAACAGACTTTCACTTTTACAATATTGGTATATATTTTTGGCTTCACACAATTTTGAACGGAGTTGCGTTTATTGCGGCAATGGAATTGGTATGAACGATGTCTGTATAGAATAGAGGGTGCCTGACTGAGCTACATTGCAGTGGTGCATAATATTGTGTAAACATTCGAACAACGGCCATGTTGGTATTTGCCAGACCACTGTTACATGTACAAACAAACCCAATAAATTAGGTTATATGTATTTACGGCATTCAATCACATTGTACTAGGATTATAAATATCGATAGTGTAATATTTTATTAGTTACCTGTTCAGAACTAAACGGTTGATATGTGATGCCAACTTAGATTATAAATAATGACGGACGTAGACATCTTAAGCAGATGAAATCGCATCGTAACAGATCAAATCAAATCAAAATACATTTATTCATGTAGGATACTTTAGCCGTCTATTTCTCTGATTCTTTTAATATAAATTGCTTATGGCGCTGTACAATATTTCCTGAGATATTGTTATTATTTTTATATAGAATAGAATAGAAAAATATTTATTCAAATAAACTTAATTTAAGCACTTTTGAATAATCAAAAATTTTTAAATCTACCGCTCTTTCAGAAAGCTGTCTTATCACAAGATGAATAAGCTTGTGTGTTGCTCTTTTAACCTTGTAAGTTTACATTTTACAAGTCGAAACGTGTGAAAAGAAACTATCAACCAACACTAATTTATTTAGGCTCAAATATAAAAACACAATAAGATTAAATCAGTCGTAGTGATAAGAGCAGACCAGTCCCTACAAGCAGCACTCGTTCATGAGTATGACGGATGAGCCAGCCATCACTGCGCTCGACCATATTTTAGGGAGACCAATGGGGCTAATAGGAAACATAAAACGAGAAAAGCATATGCCATTCTTATAAAGTATTTCATGGAAAATCACAATCTACTGCTCTTTCATGCTGTATTATTTTGAAACGTTTGCAGCAATGAAACAGTGAAAAGATTAAACGAACAATTCATAGCACCACTGGTTGCTCAGTTGAGCCGCTCTGCAATTTAATAAACCGTTTGTCACGTATTTGTCGAATGTATTCTGTTATATTCACAGTGAGCAAACCACAACTGGATGAACTGATTCGCCGGATCTAGAATAGGAGGCACTTGGTTGTTACAACTGAAAAATTTACAATCACGAATAAACTGAAAATTACGCACGATTTAAATGTATACCTAATTATTTAAGATCTTTAAAAATTTTTGAATCCGGTGATGGAATAACTGGTAACAAATGTAATAATTGACAATATTGGATTCAAATATAATGCATATTAAGAATGTAAACTTGTACATGTGTTTATAATTATATAATTGATTTTAAACTTTCAAGTAACCCTGAATGAAAAAATATCTAGTAAATTTAAGAATCATAAATGTAGCGAAACATCGCAACATAATCGGTACTTTCGATGATGAGCTATGATGAACATCCGACACAAATAAATTTATAGCACTCCTTTACGTCGAACTTTAAAAAAAGGCGATTCAAATCAATTTGAATGGGCGATAGAGTGAATAATATTACTATTCAAAAGTGGTTGAAATTCAGTTTGAGTAAAATATTTTTTTAACATCTGTTTAGTAACTTCTAATTTTGAATATTAATAAAAAAATCTGTACCAAGTTCATTTTATAACTAAAGTGTGCCTACATAAAAGACAATAATAAAAATAACTATAAATAATATAATAATAACCCTGGATAATACACACAGAGCTGTCTAGTACTAAGTTAAGCAGAACTTGTATATTACTGATATTCATTAATTTTATTATAAAATTTTCAGTTAATTTATAACAAGTAAATAAATTTGAAATGTCTATTCTTAATTTAAAATTAGTAGCTTTTCATTACATGTATATCCGGTACTTACACAAAAAAATGTCTATTTGTCTGTCTGTTATTGCTAATCTCTGAAATAGCTGCACCGATTTGCATAAGACATTCATTCCTAGATGGCTAATATTGTAAGGAGTGACTTGGCTAATTTTATTCCAGAAATTTTGTTTACTTTAATAACAAAGATAAATCCCACGTGGACGAAGACGCGGGTAATAGCTAGTATAATCTACGATAGAACTATTTACTTTTATTACAGTTACGGAGCAGGATCAATTTCTCTATTCATGAAGCCGTCGATGTTTTAATACCATTATAAAGTTTTTTAATATCCCGTTTAGTCTAAAAGTAACTAGTGACTCGACTTATACACGATTTATTTAGTTTATTAAGTAATAAACTGTGTTACTAAAGTACCAGTTAACCTTTTAGAAGTGTTGAGATACTCAGTAAACGTTTAGGATTAAATACACTAGCTCAACCCGCGAGTTTGTACCCTTATATTTTTTTTATTTAGTTTGGGCTGGTGGAGTTACATTCTTGGAACGAAGCCTGCGCTTACACCATTTACAGGGCGGGCCAACGTCGCCGGAAATGCGGTAGTCTGAAACTGAATGACTCACCCGTCAGTAAGTGGAACTTCCTCCAGGATCTGCTTGGCGATCTCTAGCCGCTCGCGGTCGTAGGCTGCAGCTGCAACCACAGCCGTGATGCCCAGTAACACGCATGCTACTGCGCGCCTCTCGCACGGATTCACCATTCTTACTGCAATAAGACATCAATTTTTTTTTACTTAATGCAATTGAAATGGAAAATAGGGTCATCTAATAGTAAATTATCAATTGAAGTCAGATAGACCGTCAGTTTGTTTGCTATAGTATACATGAACAGTACGCACATCACATTATCATGTGAAGCTTGTGATATCACTCATGCGTTGCTATTATAGAGGACTAAAATTAAAACTAAAACACAATTTAATTATTAAGACTAAAACACAATATTGTGTAATTTCTTCCAAATTAGGCGGCTGAATAAGTTTAGGTGTTTGATAATAATAATGCTTTATATTTCCCATATTTTACACTACTATTCAGGAAATACTCTGACTTTTGTGGTATGTATAAAAAATATGTTTCAGTATTCAGTAAAATGTATTATATTAATATTACCAAAGTTTTTTTACATATGATTGCGAATCAATTTTGTTGATATGAATGTGTTTTTTATCAATAAATACCATGAAAAATGTGGTGTTACCCAGCTACAGGCCCCTACTTCGTAAGGATGTACATTTATTATACATATAAACATCCTCTTGAATCACTCTCTCTATTGCTAAAACTACATTAATTTTCGTTGTATAGTTTAAAAGGTCTAAGCGACAGTAGAATCTACTTCATTTTATACTATGTTAATATATATATAATTATATAAACATAAATGCAGGCATTGTTATCTGTCCGTGTTATATAAATTGAAAGGTGGAAATGGTAAACGTTTGTGTGAAAACGTACCTTCTTGTATCTCGCAAGTGAAATACCGCAATCAGAGATAAGGTGGCCGAACTTAACTTTAATAAGTACCCGTCGACCTCAAAGTACAATATAAACTAACTTGTACAGATATTGTAAGTTTATTAAGTTATTTAACAAACTTGTCAACAGTGAGATTGTATAACGTTGATTTATGGGAAAATCTATTTGTAGTAGATTATGGACAAAGAAACAGTTTGATTTGCAATAGTAGCTATATAATGGCCTGCTTAATATTTATACCTCCTTTTTACTAAGTAATAATAATATCTCACGTTAATTCATAAAGACTACATCTAGTCCCAAGCAAAGTAGTATGTAATGAATACTAGACAAATCATAGAATTACATAGACACATTTTTTGTAAATACATACATAATATATAGTGCATAGAAGACCAGTATAGGAAGTCCAATTCGTGAATACCGTGTGGGTAATCGAACCCGCGACCATCAGCAGTAAGGCGGTTAACGCTAGACCACCGAGGACTATTTGTATAATTGTTATCGTTTTGCGACTTGCTTTGATTCATACGAAAATGGATTATTTGGTTACCTATGTATACATAGTTTGGTTTTGCCTATGTATACATAGGCTTCTTTTATCTAAAAATAAGCAGTAGGTAACAGCTATTAATAAAATACATTTATTTTAACATTATGTTCACTATAAATGTAATTTATAATATCTCAAGTATATTCTTATATATAAAATTCTCGTGTCACAATGTTAATTACCATTCTCCTCCCAAACAGACATAATCGATTTTTATAAAATTTTATATGCATAATCAGTAGGTCTGAGAATCGGTTACTATCTATTTTTCATACCCCTAAGTGTTAAGCGATATCCACCCCTAAATATATATTATTTTATTTTTCGACATAATATTTTATTTTCATTTTATTATTATTTAGTATTGAAAAATACATACAACCCTAAATTTTCACCCTTCTATCACCAACCCCTATTTTTTTATAGTAATATTAATTTATATGGCAAAACAACGTTAGCCGGGTGAGCTAGTGTATGTATATAATTTATGAATAGGCATTTTGTTTGTAGTAAATATACATAGATACATATATACTATATTCCCTACCGTGCTGTTAAGCAGTTCAGCAAGCAACTGAGGAAAGATTCATCTGTCACGATAACATAAATAGAACCTTGTTTTAAAATATCGTTTAGAAAAAGTTAATAGGTCTTCTTCTGGAACGGACATTACATTTTATAATAAGAATATTTTTGAACTAACTTTTAACTTTTTCCAATACTTTATAACAGTAAATTTGTATCTGTTATTCTATATATATTAAGTTAATATATAGTGTCCTAGATGCATTTAACTTATTTTTTCTAAAATAAAAAAAAATCTAAAATGAAGTTAGCCTAAGTTACACCTTATTATATCAGCTGTCTGCCAAAAAAAGTCTCGTCAAAATCGGTCCAACCATTTCAGAGATTATCCGGAACAAACACACAGACAGACAGACAAAAATTGTAATAACTGTTATTTTAATGTAGTAAAAAACGGTTATTCCAATATTACAAACATACACTCCAATTTTATTTATATGTATAGACTCTCTAGGAGTCATTCTGGAAGATCGTGTCTTTCCAACAGTGTGAAACTTTCAATAACCGGTGCATTGGTTCCGAAATTGGAAGTCGTGTCGTATCAACAGCTGAAAGGACTGATAGTAGATCGTGGAAGGTGGCGGGAGCTCCACTGACAAGAACACAGCTCTTAAATTATGAATGAATGAATGAATGTATATGTATTCGTTTGATTAGTTAAATATAATTAAAATCAAGCCTCTTTTAGGTACATTATTATTTTTTTATAAAAAAGTTGACAACACGTTTATATAACACACATTTATTCGCGTAATCAATAGGGTTGACTCCTGTGTTGTTTATTAACATAGGAGATAGAATACATCAACCCTATTGATTACAAAAATAACAATTACATTTCGTGTACAATTAGCGAAGATATTACGTAACTATACGAGTATTAAATATAAAAGAAACCTTTTGTTGTCAATTTAAAATATACAGTGGAATTATAAACAAAAACTTCATTTAAGTCAGCCAAGATCACTTTAGGACTATATGTATATGCATGTATATTCTATTCAGAGATTCATCTCGAGTTCGCACGAATGTAATGTAATGTACAGTGTATGTGACAGAGGTTCGTAATTATGTATATACAATTAATTATACATACATATAAACCTCACGGAATAAGTTCACCAAATAATAGTGGAATCTATATTTAAATCCATTAAAATTGCTCCGATTGATCCCCCGTCCAACTCAAACGGGGATCGAAATTACGACGGCCTGAGCCGAGGTTCGAACCCCTAGTGGTGCCCTCAGACTAAAGTCGTATCCGTCAGGTAGGAGTTGGCCTTCAGCCGCTCCATAAGTGCTTCCGCGGGTTTGGAGTGCCACCTGCACTCGCCCCCTAACGTCCGGTGAGGCTGTAAAGGCCAGCTGCGGCCAACAGCATTACAGTAGTCCGAAAAAAAAAGCAGTTTCGAATTGGCAATTGGAGAGAGTCATACGAAAACAGTGTCTTCATTTTATGTTATCATCATTACATAGTATAAAAAAGTCGCTGTATGCTTAAAACTATAAAACTAGGCAACTAATTTTGATCCGGTATTTAATAAATAGGGAGAGTCTAGAGGTATGTTTATATACATATATAATACATATACACCAGTGTGAATTCCGGCCGAGTAGCTAGTATAGTATATAGATCAATAATAATGGCATCATCACTTATAGGTTCACTTTTGATCGGCCCGAATTATGTATATCGATAGTCATGCGTTCAACCTGGAAAACATCAAAAATCTTGTTTATCAATTTAGGTATATATCTAACATTGTGGGATGATTAATCTGAGGTACGGAGGTCATGGTATCAAAAGTTTAAAAAGCCTCTGACAATCCCACCTAGAATAGATGTCATGAAGGTGTATTATGATAAAACATAGAAACATTGCAAAGTCGCTATTGAAATCGTTCTTCTGTAAATATATCCAACAACCCTTTTTACTACATACTCTTTGTACAGCTTCATTGCTAACGGCTACATTTGAAAATTAATTCAGCGTTGCCTTTAAAGTATCATTTTGGAACCAAATGAAGTAGGAAGCCTAAGATAATACCGTGAGAATTAAAATACAAACGCTGCTATATGACTGAGCTAATACACTGTATTTTGTGTGTTAATTTAACAATTACACCAGAAGCCTTTCTCTAGACGAATGTATATATGAGCTTCGTGATCTATAAGATCCTGTATTCCTGATAGTATTGTAGAAAATTAGATTCACAATTTACAATTATGTATTGCCCATTCGACAGTAACAATTGATAATGTAGAACTTGGCTTTTACCGAGCCAATGGTTCTAATATAATTCCGCAACTGTCAATTGTAATCTGTGTGAAATGAGAATTGTTCGCAGCTGCGTTACATAATAAAACGGCTGATGGAAAATGGCGTATTTACTGTAAAATGAACTGAGAAGCCTTAAGATAATGCCGCGCAAATTGAAATAGCAAATGTGTTAAATGACTGGAGTAATTCACAGTATTTCCCAACCGAATCCACAGGTAGTCACAGGTATTACGTATTATTATTTTTCGTATCCACCCCTCGTATATCAAATACGGACGGGCGTAACGATGAAACGGTGCTATGCTGTTTTAACTGTGTGCGAGTGGGACAAAAATAATAACAATGTCACCTTAAAGAGGAGCAGGTAATCCAGGGACACCCGGGAATACGTAATAACGGTCCGTAACAAGGACGAGAGGGCTTTGATAGTAATTAGGCAAAGTGACACCAGGGCTTTTTGTGCCTAAACCGCCTTTGTCTCTGTGAGGACTGAGCCGACTGCGGTTTCAGTATTTATGTATTCATAATGCGTTATTAACCGGTACCGCAAAACCGCGTTTGTTTAATACAAACGTGTAATGTTAACGTGTCATTTCACTTGTATTTGGTTTCATATCACACTACCTTCTAGGGTATTCTTGTCGCTTGTTATTTTTAGCGAATATATCTGCCATTTAATCTTTCTTTTGTATTTGCGACTATATATTTTTTATATAAAACTTTAGTATAGTACTAGTAGACTAAATCTATCTATTACACAAGAACGAGACAAGAAGAATGATAATCCAATGGCAATAATAAATACATA